CTTGCAAGGTGGGGTATGGCAGCTATGGCGCCCAGAACCCTGTGCCCGGTGTCCAGGTTGGGAGGGCCTGCCCCAGGAAGTGAGGAGGTGGCTTAGTTTGCATCCCTCTGGGAGCTGTACTGCCTGTAGCATACTGTTCCAGATGGCCCCTGGCAGAGCTGAGTAGTCTAGGCTATGGTCTTGTGACTTTCTCCTGGTGTCTAGTCTTACTTCTCAAACCCTTGGATTGAAAGGGTTGGTATTGCCTATGGAATAGACCATAAGACTTGACTTCACAAAAAACCTTTAGTCCTTTCAAGTGCCCAGAGGTGGGTGCTGGTTGACCCTCTTGTACAGAGAAGGAAATTTAGAGTTATCAAGATCAAGGGACTGCTCAGAGTCAGCATTAAAAACTGGTGGGGCCAGTTTTTGACCTTTGGTTTTTTATTCCCTTTAAAGCACAACTAATAAGGGAAAGAAATCAGGAAAATATAAAAGAAAATAAGCATGTTAGTGATAGGATTTGGCAAGGGAAGCACCTCTAGCACAGTGATCATACTCAGGGCCCAGGAGCAAGTCCATTAACATTTTTCAGAGGCATTTGACTCTGTCGACCTTTCTGTCCAGGGAGCCATGGGACAGCAGTTTGTCCACTGAAGAGGGAGCGTCAGGAGAGAGGGGGGTGAGGGCGGTGGAGGATGGGGAGGGCCTGGCTGCTGGCTGGGAGTGGAGAGGCAGGAAGAGGTCCCCCTGGGCTTGTTCGGGGATGTTCCCTGCCGTTCCATGCCTTGCAGCGTGATCATCCCTCCTCGAAGGTCCTAGACTTGAAGGCCAGAATCTACAGGGGCTTTGGGAGTCTTCTGGCCACTTCTCATCTGTATCAGGCTACAGATACTGAGTCTGTGTCTTGACCAAAGTCTCTCAGGTGGTTCCAGGGGCATCACAGTGCCCACGCTAGGTCTCTTTTTGTTCTACTTTGTTGCTTTGAGGAAAGAGGAGGCCCTTCGAACTGTGCGAGTGGAGAGTAGAAGAGGACTCGGCCTGGCAGCATGAACCCCAAGGCAGGCCCCCTGGGAGGTTGTAGCTCCTGGTCCTCCAGGCAGCCTTCAGCTTTCTGTACTGCCCCTGAGGGACAGGAAAGGTCACCCAGACAGAGAAGGTATTGCCCAGAAGTGCTCCAGCGTTCCTGAAAGCAGGTCCCCACCATTTTACTCTACCTTACTTTAGTTAGTGTCTGATGAAGCAGTGACTGGAGTGCTAAGCAGACAGCCAGGACAGGTCCCTACCAGGAGGTGACCAGTGGGCTCTTAATCAGATAATCAGGGTAGGGTAGGTCTTAATCAGATAATCAGAGCTCTGTAACTTCCAAGACAACAACTAACGAGTATTGGGTGCTTATTATTTGACAGGTACTCTTGCAAGCACTTTGCAAATATCAGCTCATGTAATCCTCACAGTTCCCTGAGGTTGGGAATTCTAGTCCTGTTTACAGAAATTGAAGGTCACCCAGGAAGATGTAGCATAGCCAGGCCTCTGTCTTTGGCCAGTGGAGCCCAAGTTTTTGTTTGTTTGTTTTTGTTCATTGTGTTGTTTTTGCAGAGACTGCATCTCAACTGTGTTGTCTAGGCTGGTTTCAAACTTCTGGCCTCAGGCAGTCTTCCTGCCTCAGCCTTCCAAAGTGCTGGGATTTTAGGTGTCAGCCACTGTGCCTGACCAAGACCCCAAGTTTTAACAGCTGCACTGCCCTGCCAGTGGCATGAAGTGGGACGTTCCAGACCAAGCCAGGGGAAGCAGGCAGCTTTTCTGGCCCCCAGCCCAGTGCTCTTTCCACAGAGGCACCCATTCCATCATTCTCATTTGTGTTTCTGTGTTTTATTCTGCTTGAGCCGTGTCCTAATCCCCCTAGAAGGGCCCAGGCTTTATGGGTGGCAGTCTTGCCTGGGGTGGCCCTGGAGGGAAAAATCATTGAACTCCCCTCCCCATCGGTGTCACTTCTTACATCAGCTACCAACCTTGTGGGCTGGACCGTGGACAGTCTTGTCTACTTCTCTGTCCACAGCACGTGGCATCTAGCTGGGGCTAAACACTTGAGAAAGTAGAGCACACTGTCCAGGCATTGCAGATTGGAATTATAAACGCCCGTGTTTGTGGGGGATCTTTTCTGTCTGGAGCAGACGTGCCTCCTAGGCTTTCCCTGGGCCTGCTTGCTGCCTGAAGATCCTCAGGGCAGTGCCCCAGGTGGTCAGGATCTGCTCGGCACAGGTGGAGTTGAAGAGTAAAGCCCTCAGGATAAGGACAGTCCTGTTCACCATCCCTCCCCAGTGCCTAGTATGGACCCCTTCATCACCTAGGTTCCAGTGGTCAGGTTTATTTTGCTTCATGGTACCGCAGCAGAACCCCAAGACTGGGCTCTTCAAAAAACATCGTGACACTTGTGGGACAAGTTAGGAAGGTCACTGTGTCTCAGTTCTGCATTGCATAAAATGGGGAGAACCGCATTGGGCTGCCTGCCCCAAGCTGTCACAGTGCGCCTTGGATGGAGTGGTGGCTGAGGAAGTACCTCACGCTGCTTAGCTTTGGTCCCCAAGGGTGAGGAAAGGTCCTTTGCCTGGCCCTGCATGGTGCTGTCACTTCTCCCCATGCCCTGGAGTGGGGCCTGTACACAACTCCTGTTTTTTCCTCCCTTTCCACTCTCCTGCCTGTTCTTTGACCTGCAGGTCCTGTAGTTTCCTCCACCTGCTCCTTCCAGATCTGCTGGGGAGGCAGGGTTCCCCTGGGGCCTTGCTGCTGGCCTGAGCCCAGGCCTCCGGGTTAGGAGGCTAGGTGCCTGGCTTTTGCAGGCAGCAGTGCTGAGTGGCGGGGGGAACTAATGGGCTCCGAGAAATGGATTCTTGTGGCTTCAGTTCCCTGAAGGGCCTATAATCCCCTGAACGCTTGAGCCCAGGCGACAGGGACCTGATGTTTGTCACCTGCAGTGCTGAGAGAGGCCTGGGGTGGCTTGGGATTTCAGATCCTTGGGGCCAGATACCAGATTATTGTGATCTTTGGCTAACCACTTAGCTTCTTTGAGCCTCTTCTAAAACTGGATAATAGTCCCTCCATAGTGAGGATTTTAAAACTTAATACACAAAAGTCCCACAACTCCTGCCTGGCTCCCTGAGGTGAATGCCTAGTAAGTGGCAGCCATTGTTGCTATAACAGCCAGACCTGAGGCACAGGACAGCTCTCATTGAGGCAAGAGAAGGTGGAGGCTGCTTGGCTGTAAGGCAAAGCAGATGGACAGTCCCTTCAAAGCCATCATTCTGGCAAAGCCAGAGTTTGGAGTTTGTTGTAAAACTAAACCCCCAGCCCAGACTGATCCCTTGTGACCTGGAGTCAAAACTCCACATGTGGCCTCTGGGCCTGACCAGTCTTGGGTCTGGTACGTGAGGTTGGACCGTTGACTAGAGGAGGGAATGAGCCCCTCCTGTTTCCTCCTCTAGCTGTCTAGTCTTACTTTGCAAACTGCTGCCATTAAGACTGCCTGCAACCTCCTGCTCTTGGGAACCGGTTGGTCCTGTCTGCAAGCATGAGACCCTGGCTTGGGCGCTGGAGACCAGGCTTCCTTCCCGGCAGTCTCACTGGCAGCTCAGGTCTCATTGGCATTGCACAGGAAGCATTAAAACTACAGCGTCCAAGCTGTGCCCACCTCTCCAGATTGATTTCTGGAGTTGGGGAAGAGGGCAGGAATCTGCATTTTCACCAAACCTGACCCTCCCTCCAGGTGCTTCTTGTACCACAGAAGTGGTTTGCAGCCCTGCCAGCTCACTGGTCACAGTTTCCAGTTTCTGCAGCTGTAAAGTGAGGGTTTTTAAACCACCTCTGCCCAGGAATTCCAGCTGAGTGGAGGCGAGGGAGGAATGAGCTTGGGACCCATTTCTGTTGGAACAGCTCTTGCCATTTTATTTTTCTTTTCAAGAAACTTAAATAAGACATACAAAAGAACATAAATGTACAATAAAAAGGAAAATATCAAAACAGGAACCTAAGTACAGTCATGTGTCACTTAACAGTAGGGATACATTCTGAAGAATGCATTGTTAGGCAATTTTGTCATTGTTTCGCTATCATAGAGTGCGTTTACACAGGCCGAGGTGGTCTAGCCTACTACATGCCTAGGTGGTCTGTTACACAATGGGAAGTATTTCTGTATGTAAACATAGAAAAAGTACAGTAAAAATATGGCATAAAGAATAAAGAATATTTGTTCTTGACTCCCATGGCTTCATTTGACTCACCTAAAAAGTTTTTTGAAGATTTTTTAAAATGGTACACTTGTATAGGGCAACTCCATTGTAATCTTGTGGAACCACCATTGTCTTTGCAAACAGAAACATCATTATTTGTCTTATGATTGTACCTGCTACTGGCTTAAGAAGCGTGGCCCTGATTTAAAGATTTTAAATCCTTAAATTTTAAGTTTTGGGTTACTACCCCTGTCAATATTAACAATTGAGACCGGGTGCAGTGGCTCATACCTGTAATCCCAGCACTTTGGGAGGCTGAAGTGGGAGAATCACTTGAGCCCAAGAGTTTAAGATCAGCCTGGGCAACATAGTGAGTCCCTACAAAAAATACAAAAATTAGCTAGAAATGGTGTCGCATACTTGTAGTCCCAGCTACTCGTGAGGCTAAGGTGGAAGGATCGCCTGAGCCCAGAAGGTCAAGGCTACAGTGAGCCCTGAGCCTGCTACTGCACTCCGGCCTGAGTGACAGAGTGAGAGCCAGTCTCAAAAAAAAAAAAAATAGTTGAAACTCATTGGGCTGAATCAAAATATCCAAGTACAGGAGAAAACCTACCTTAGAATTACCTAGTAGATTCCTGACCCCTACCATTCCTGAGCAGAACAGAAATCTCTAAAGGTTGGGATCCAGGAATTTACATTTGATAATTCTGCATACTAATGTCTCAAGGCTGAAGTCCTTTGCAGGAGTGCTTGCAAGGGTCACTCATCCTCCTGGAAAGCTGTTTGCATTTTCAGGATCAGTGAGTGTAAGGACAATGTCACAAGATAGGACTAGAAGGACTGCAGATGACGGTGTCTGGCCACCCTTCCACAGTCCTGACGGAGACTGAGGACACCAAAGGGAAATTCTCGTCCCAGCAAAGGCTGTGAGACCTGCGCCAGGCCTCTTAACTTTTAGGCCAGGACCCTGGTCATCCACTTTTAGCTTGGAACATGGGGCAGTGTTTCTTCCTTCCTATGGTGGCCAGATTTAACAAGGAAAAATATAGGGCACCCAGTTAAATTTGAATTTCACATAAACCGAATAATTTTTTAGTGTGAGTATTCCAGATATTTCATGGGACATATTTAGTTTATAAAATTACTCACTGTTTATCTGAAATTTAGATTTAACTGAGTGTTCTGAATTTCTGTTTGCTAAATCTGACAGCTGTATTCTCTTCCCCTTACCCCCCTTCTTTGGCATCAGGCAGATTCAAGAATTGCCCCCAAGAAATGAAAAATAACTACCATGCATTTATGATAGTTCTTTGTTCTAAGCTAATTTTAAATATTCATTGAATCTGTTAAACCTGGGAGCTAGCTCCCATGGGCCCCTCATTGCTTAGGGACACAAGAGGTTAATAAGCCTACCTCCTGGGATGATCCCTGTGAGCAGCCTTTCTGCCTCCATGTGCCTTCAGCTGCTTGACTGGCTCTGGATTTGTGGCCCAGCTCTTGGCCTCTCAAGTTACAAGCTGTGGAGAGATTGGTCCATTTGGACTTATCGGCCAGGCCTTGTGAGCAACTTAATTGGTGGCGGCTGTTGGTGAGCCATCCCAGAATGGACTGCAAAGTCTTCTGCTGACTGCTGTTCTACCCTGCCTCTGCACCCAGCAGTATATGAGGGTTGAACCAAAAGAATCTGGAATTTGCTTGTCAGAAATGTATATTCTTACATGTTTAAACGTAAGTCATCTTCAAATTACTCTTCGTTTGTTGCAGTACACTTATCAGGACACTTTCTCCACTTCTCAAAATAATTTTTGAACTTGTCGATTTTGATGCCTGTTAGTGCTTCTGCTGTTTTTTGTTTCACCTCTTCCACATCAGCAAAACGTTTCTCTTTGAGAACTTTTTTCATCGGGGAAAACAAAAAAAAAGTTGCTCAGGGCGAGATTGGGTGACTAGGGAAGGGTGGGTCACCGGGTCATGCCATGTTTGGCCAAAAACTGCTGAACACTCCGGTGCATTGCCATGGTGGAAGAACCTGCTTGTCACAACTCAGGGACGTTTCTTCTGCAAATCGAGATACAACCTTCTCAAAATTTCCAGATAAAAACTTTGGTTGACTGTTTAATCCGGAGGAGCAAATTCTGAGTGTACTACAAGAGGCCCGCCCTCCAAAAGATAATTCTGGTTTTTTTTTGGGGGGGGGTTCCCCCTGTAGTGCCTTACTGGTGGGTGGATTTGGATAGGGATCAGATCCTCTCTGTTTGCTGCCAGGGTATACAGTGGCTTGAGGGCATCTGTGAGCAGTGATGGGAGTGTGTAGCTGGCTGTCTCCAGGTTTGTTGCATCTGAGGCTCTGCTCCTTTCAGTTGGGGGTGGCATGCAGTGCTGAAGGGGTCTGTAGGCTGGCCCGAACCCACCAAGATAATCAAGCCAGCAGCTTCTGGGAAGCCAGGCTTGGACTAGGGAAGCTAGTCCCAAGAACTCCATCTCCTCATCTGCTTTTGGGACACCTGGCAAGTCCCTTCCATTGCTGTGGGATTTTCAGGTGAAGATTCAGGTGACTGCTCAGGTTAGTGAGGGTGTCCAGCCTGCCTCTAGGATAGACAGATGATCAGCGAGAAAGCCCGCCAGCCTTCCCTAGCATAGTGCTAAGACGGGAATCAGTGTAGTGGGGCCCCACCTGGAGCTGCGTCAACCAAAGCACCCCTCTTTTCAGGCACGTATTTCAGTTCCATGTGTTTTTCTTGAAAGAACCATCAGTAGTTTCGGGGAAAGTTCCTGCAACACTTAGGTTCCTGAGGCCCTGCCCTCCACCCTTTGGGTGGGTGTTGTGCGCAGAGCATATTTCGTTGAGGGGGTTGTTAGCTTCCTGACCTGCAGAACACCTCTGGGTCAAGAGGCAAGAACTTGACGTCCCAGTGCCAGCTCCACGATAGTTCGGTGGTGACATCAGGCACAGCCAGGGCCCTCCTGGTCCATTCTTCAAGTCCCTTCCAGCCCTGGCTGGGTCTGGGATCAGCTTCTCCACCACTCCAGTAACGGGGATAATCCAGAATCATTTCTTGGGACTCAGAAGCCTCCTCCAGCAGAGCCTGAAGATTTATGACAATGAAAGGGAGCTTATGTTGCCTGGAGTGGTGGTGGTTGGCCGGTGGGGACGGGAAGAAACGTGCTCTGAGGGCAGCAGCCTCCCAAGTCAGGGTAGTGGAGTCTGATATGCAACAGAGTACCATGTGCCTAGCACCTTGCCTGAGAGGATTGGCTGCAGAAATCCAGGCCCAGGGGAGCCCGGGGCACCCACAAACGGATTGCGGCTCTTCCACTAACTGAGAATCACCATGCCTGCCCTCTAGAATGGTTGTGAAAGAGAAGTGAGCCACTGCATGTGAAGGACTTTGCACCGCTCAAAGACAGGGTGAGGGCTCAGTACTCGGTTACTGACTAGTGGAGTGGAGAGACACAAATGCAGCCTTTTCAGATGGTGGTGAGTGCTCCCAGAACCCTCATTATAGAAGTTGGTCCATAATTGCTGGTTGGGCAGGACTCTACATTGAGTGGTCAGGAAGACCTGTGGAGAGTTTACCCTGGAGATCGGGGACTCGATCCTGGTACTAGATCTGTCCCTTTCCTTCCTTCAACATATGCTGTGTGACCTCAGGCAAGTCCCTTCCCTCAGTCTCATTTTCTGGACAACTGGAGTAATAGTGCTTCGCTTTGAGAGGATTAAACAAATCACATGTAGAAAGCACCCTAGGTCAACTGTTGGTACTTAGCATGCAGTGGTTATCATGACTTTAAGTAGAACCAAATGTGCTCTTCTGAAGAGCCGGTTAGGAACTGGCATGTGAGGCCAGGGACTTCAGTGACTGCAGATATGTTTCAACTGTGATTGTTTGATTGGTTGATTGATTTTTGAGTTGGATTCTCACCCAGCCAGCATTCAGTGGCACACTCATGGCTACTGCAGCCTCGACCTGCTGGGCTCAGGCAGTCTTTGCTCTTCAGCTTTCCAAGTGACTGAGATTACTGATGCATGCCACCACGCCTTGCTAATTTTTGTATTTGTTGTAGAAACGAGGGCTCACCAAGGTGCCCAGGCTGGTCTCGAACCCCTGGGCATAGGCAGTCCTCCCACCTTGGTCTCCTAAAGTGAACTGTGATTTTTTTTCCCACCCCCACCTCCAACTGTGATGTTTATTAATCAGCTGTGGGACAGGACTTCAAGGACTGGCAGCAGCAGTGGGGGTGACCACAGACACCTGAGGGCAGCCATATCCATGTCTGGGCAAGAAGAGTGGGAGCATTGAGCCGCCTGGGTCACCACAGGCTAAAGATAGTCAGCTGGGGTTGGGCTGGGCCAGGCTGGTATCATGTGACTGGAGCCTGGCCCACCCTCCGCCCCTCCTCCCAGGCTAAGGGGACGCGGACGCTGCACTCATGAGCTGGCTGCTGGCCGGCAGCTTCCTTTCACGGTGGAGACTCAACGATGGTCTGGCCTTCTGAAGGTTTCCCTCCCTCTCCCTCTCCCCAGGGAGTGTCCTTTAGCCCCTCCTGGGTTTCCCTTGCCAGTCTGGGGGAGATGGGGCAGGAGGGCTGGGTAGAGAGAGCATCTGAGGGTGGCAGCAACAGCAGCCGCTGGTGAGCCAGGTGAGGAGGCTTAGCCAGCCTTCTTCCTCCGGGGAAGAGCTGCTGCCTGGGGTGCCAGGGTCAGTGGGGATGGGACAAAGGTTGTAGGTCTCCAAGTTCCTCCTCTGCGACTCCTCCCCGTCTCGGCTGGGTGACAGCTGAACTAGCCAAGCTTTTCACATCCTCTGCCCCAGGCTGGCCTGGGAGGGACAGGCACAGGTGGGTGGTGTAACCCGGACTCTTTTCTGCCTACCTACCCTCCCTTGGATGTTTTTGCTGTCTACTAGCGCCAGGGTCCGGCCGCCTCTGGCAGATAGTGGGGGGGCCGGAGCCTCCAGCCGCCTCTGTGCTCTGGTCCAGGGCGTGACTGAGGAGCCTCATGGGGCGGGACTAGAGTGGAGGGTGGGAGGTGGACCTGGAAGCCCTGTCTCTCACCAGGGTTGCCAGGGTGCCGAAGCGAGGCCTCCAGTTGGGTATGTGTGGTGGCTGCCTCCCTCTCCTCTCTGGGTAGGGGAAAGGAGCGTGGTCAGGTCGCTGGTGTCCGATCGCAGCAGGTCACCTGCCCAGCCCTGGCTCTGTTATGGTAGTCTTCCCTGCAGGGGGCCTGTGCCTCATGCCCCTGCAGCCCTTCCGCTGAGAGTCTGCCCTGCTGCCACAGTGAAGCGGTCACCTGGGCGCCTTTGCTTCTGTCCCACCTCCTCCTAGGGTTAAGACAGGTTTTGGTGTTGAACTGCTTGGCCTCAATTCTGCCTGCCGCTTGCTGACTGTGAGCTTAGCAAATCACCTTCCCATGTGTGCCTTGGGTTCCTCATTTGTAAAATAAGACCATTGGGAGGAACTCGTTCGACGTGGTAGCAGAGTTCAGAACAGAGTGTGGCATCTAGTCAGTGCCCACTACATGGTATCAGTACTTACTACAGATAACAACTGCATCTACAGTTGGCTGCCAGCATCTCTCCTGCCTGATGAGTCTCAGTGGTAGAAATCTTGCCTTCTCTTCCCCATCTGTAGACCTAATGTGGACTGCCTTTTGTTCTGTTGAGGTGGGTGAGGCTGGGAGGCAGGTCCCCAGGGCCAGACGCTGATGAGTGCTGGGGTCTGGCCCTGGTCTCAGCACCAATTTCAGGCGGTTGCCCATGAGTCAGAGCTGGGGTCGTCTGGGAGCCAGCAGTTTCTAGGACATGTGCTGCTCTATACCGAGGAGGGCTCCAGCTGAAGGCTGAGGGTTGAGGCCATAGCCTCGGGAATTAGCATTTGAAAAGCAAAGCCTCTTCTCTGCTGTGCAATCACAGAGGGGAGATAGATGTGTGAGCTCATCGTTAGTTAACTAGTGTCTGCCAAGCTCTGAGCTGGGCACTGCGACTTGTGCTGTGAAGCATCCAGGGCCCCGCCCTCAGGGAGTGCTTGTCTGGGGATGCAGATAAAGCAACCAGCTGGTTAACATCTACAGCATAGTGTGAGCACTGAGCACTTGGGGTCTAGGAGGTCTTCCCCATGGAAACTGGCCTGATGGCAGCACGTGGGAGGTGTGGCTATAACACAGCCCTTCGACCCAGCAGATACCTGGCTCCCCAAGGTGCAGTGTGCCATCTGCTCAGATGCCAGTCTCTAGGAGGTGACAGTCTCCAGATCAACATTGGGGTTTCCTCATTCTCCTGCCAGTGCCAGGCCTAGGATCTAGTGGTCTCTCCATCCACTCTCAGCCTTGCTACCTTTCCCTGTCCCGGGCCCTCAGTTTCGATTCTGGCTTCTCCCCTTCTCTTGAAAGGTCTTGTTACCGCTGCTGGCAAGTTTGCATCACCCAGCTGTCTCCTCCTCTAAAAACCTTCCCTCAGCCTTGCTCCTTAGACCGCCTAGATCTGCTCCTCTGGTAGCTTTTGTTTCAAGAGGTCGGCAGCCGTAGACTCATCCTAGAGCAAGACAGTACAGAAAACGCTTTTTCACCTTTTGTCTGGCTTTGTCCGGTGTGAGTGGGTCCCACCCTTTGATGGGTTGAGGGGGACTCATTGAGGCCCTGGCCCTTCCTTTTCTGTGCTGAGTAAAAAATGGACCGACTAAATATCTTCAGCTGAAAGGGAACGTCAGGCCTTCCCCCCTGCTCTTCCTTCCTCTCTAACAAAGCAGGGCTTCGTGCCAGGGCCCCCTGGGGGACTGCTGGTAAATTCCCCCATCTTCCCTTCCCCATTAAAACTGCAAGGTGCTGAAGCTTTTCTTCCCACCTTCCTGGGGAATCCTGCCCGGGAGCCCAGACACCCCCTGAGGGCACTGGGTGTGGGTCACTGCTGGGAAGAGCCAGGCTGGGGGGCTCGTTTGCAATCAGGATTGGGTGAATTGAGCCAGCTGATCCCAAGAGGTTTTTTGCACACACAGATTCTTTTGTGTTGAGAGATTATTTGGTGTGATCCTGGGCACCGTCTCTATCTCTGTCCGTCTCTGAGGGTGATGGGGAGGATTTCTTGGAAATCTGAAGCTTTCTTTGTGAATCGCACTCCTTAGCATTTGTTGAGCATCTGCAGTGTGCTGGCCACTCTGCCACGCTCTGTTCAGCTGACTGTTCCATGGCACTGTGAGGCGACTGTGGCTCCAGTGTTGCAGAGGAAGCTAAAGTCAGGGGCCCCACAAGAAGCAGATGGTAGGGACTGCATATCACACCCGTCGGATGAAACAAAGTCCATGTACTTGACGGGCATGTGGCTCTCCTAGTGGCATTTGAAAGAAGGGGTGTTAACAAGTGGAAGTTGAGGCTCAGAGGGATGGAGTCTCGGGTTATACAGTAGGTTGTGAGGCCACCAACCACTCCACTTGACAGGGAGCCGCCATCCCTGCCCCCGCTGTCCCTGTGGCAGCTCCTCTGCCCTGCCGTCCCTCGGCACCTTGGCCTTCATCAGCAGTGATGGCCCAGCTCCTGGCTCCTCACTACTTGAAGTAATCTTGACTGATCTAAGTACAAATATTTTGACATCAGATACAGTTTCTGGAAAAGTCCTGTAGCGCCCTTACCACCACCAAATTCAAATGGCTTCTTGCATGTGGACAGACTTGTGTGCTTCACTTTGAACAAAGGCTGGTGTGTTTGTAGGAAGCCCCTGGGGCCCCTGGAACTAGAGTCGGTACTGGCTCCTGGCAGTGGTCCTTCGGGAAAGAAAGTGGTTTTCCCCTCTCCAGATACCCTTCAGGCCCTGATTTGCCTCCGCAGAGGAGAAAGACCTTCCTGGGGCCTCTGTCAGCCATCCTCCTATGGGAATCCCGGGTCCCAGAAGCCTGCGGACAGATACGTGGCAGCCTGCCTGCCACACTTCACCCTTCCTTCTCTGAGACCCTCTCTCTCCGTCTGTGCCTCTGTTCACTAGGAACAGCTAGGGAAGTGCCCTGCGATGACACCAAGATGGTTTCTGACCCATTCTCAGCAGTAGACACATGAGAACCACTGCGCCCATGGAATTCCTGGTGAGCTGGTTAGGAGCATTGATGAGCAGGTCGAGAATTCTGGCTTCCATCCTGGCTTTGCAGCCAGTCCTGGGGAAGAAGCCCCGTACCCTTTGCAGCCTTGGTTCCCTGTCTACACATAGAGGGGATTAGAACAACTGTCCTTTTTGCTCCTCCAACATTTTACACCTGTTTTCTTGGGCAGGTGGTTGGTGGTTCCCAAGTTGGGTTTTGGGTCACTGGTGGCAGGTGTGGAGGTCTCAGAATGCAGGGGTAGCAGGAGGAGGAGGATGCTACCCTGTCTTGGCTGGGACGGTGCTGGATGTAGACTGGTGCCTGTGCAACGGGTGAGGGTTGGTTTTTGTTGCCTGTGCAAAGGGTGAGGGTTGGTTTTTGTTGGGAGCCATTTCAGGTGCCAAGCCCAGCTAGGCCTACATGTTCTGAGTGTGCACACATACACGTGCAAGTTGTGGCAGTTGCCTGGTAAGGGTGGTGTCTGGGAGAGGACCCAGAAAGGGACGTGTAATTGAAGGGAAGTCTGAAAGCCTCGGGCAGGGCCTGGCAGCAGCCCATTTGAACCTCCCTGGGTTTCCCCAAGGCCCGATATGACTGTAGCAGATCTGTTCATCTTACATAATGGCAGAAGTGGCTTTCTCTCACCAGTGCATCTTTCTGCCTCTCTGGGGTTTTTTTTTTTTTTTCCTTTTTCTTTTCTTTTTTGTTAAGACAGTTTCTCTTTGTCACCTAGGCTGGAGTATAGTGGTACAATCATAGCTCACTGTAACCTTGATCTCCTGGTTTAAGCAGTGCTGTTGCTTCAGCCTTCCAGAGTGCTGGGATTACAGGCTTGAGCCACCAAGCCCAGCTTCTCTGGGGGTTTTATTCCCCGTATCAGGGGCACCCTGAGGCCCTAGCTGGTAGCAGAGCAAGAACAGGGCATCACGGTCCTTAGGACAGGGAGACATGGGAGTGGGGCTTTTTCAACAAACTCCCACTGGACTAAATTTTCACTGGGAGTATTCATGTGTGTGCCCAGATGGTACACATTTTCCTCATCATCTTTGGAGACTGTGGTGGAGGAGGGAGTCAGTGGGATCTTTTCGTGGCAGGAAGTCTCTCACATTGACTGGACTTTGAACTTTCAGTACCTTACCATGTCCGTTTGTGGTAAAACAATGACCCGAAAAACTGCCTCACCTTCTCAAGGAAGGCTTCAGGAACACCTTGCCCTTTGGGCTTGATTCTGCTCTTCAGCATCTGTTAATGAGCTTGGTGTTGATGTTGCAGCCTTTGGCTTGCTCTCCGGGCCACATGTGCAGTGTTGTTGGGTACTGGGACAGGGGATAACCAGCTCAAGTGCAAGTGAGCCCAGTCCTGGCTTGAAGCAGGGGAAGATCTTTAGTATTGTCAGCATTGTTAGACTTGTCTGGGTCAACCTGGGAGTCACAGGAGAGTGGGTGCAGAGTGACCCCTGGGCCGCTCGGTGCCATCCTCTTGGGACTGAGGTGCTGTGAGTCACCACTGCCCAGCTCTAGTGGTGTGGTGCTGTGGGCTGGGTTCCACAGCTCTGGCTTTCAAGAGTCACGTGGGGGATGGAAACCAGAAATGTAGCAGCCCACAGTGAGGAGTTGGGCTAGGACGCATGCTGCTCATTAAGGGAACATGGGTCTGATCAAGGAGTCTAATGCTTTGCCTCGGGACTGGGGGCAGCTCCTGCCCTGGCTGGCCAGCAGTGCAGGCAGGGATGGGAGGAAAGTGGGTGAGCAGGACCCAGGATGTTTGTTTTCTGTGGGTCTGTGGGGCAGGAAGGGCCAGAAGCCCTTGGTCTTCAGAATGGTGTTGGGAAAGTGAGTGTGGGTGCAGAAGGGATTGGACCTATTAGAGCCACTTTCTTTAAAAAAGAACACATCTTTAAAAGCCCATGTATGTCTTTGTCGAAAAACTAAGATCGCCGTTAAACAGACTAGTATACTACGTAATTCCTGGTAATACTTAACTGTCTGTCTAGAGTTCATGCTGTTTGTGTGCATGTACACATTTTGTTGGGTTTGTAAAAATGGAATTTTTTGTCACTTTTCTCATTTATTGTGCCCATCTTTTCATATCGTTAGAGATCATTATCTTCTTAATGCCTATTCTAAAAATGGATGAACTTTAATTTATTTAGCCAGTTCCCTACTTTTGCACATGTAAGTTGTTTTCAGTCTTCTGAAGTTATAATTAGCACTTTGGTGGACATCTGCATACCTAACTCTTATCTAATTTGTATCACTAGGGTGCATTCCTAAAGGTGGAACTGTTGTGCCAAGTGGGAGCCCACTTTTTTCTTTGGAAACTGAGAAGGCAGACAAATATCTTTCCCAAGTGGCACTGGGGTAGTCCTTGGATTTCTTGACGGCCCACTTAGGTGGTTTTTTGTTGTGGTGGTAGTGGGTTTTTTTCTTTCTTTCTTTTTTTTTTTTTAAGGAGACAAGATCTCACTCTGTTGAGCAGGCTGGATAGAGTGCAGTGGAAGGATCATGGCTCACTGTATCCTCGAATTCCTGGGCTCAAGCAGTGCTCCCACCTCAGTCTCCGTAGCTGGGACTGAAGGCACTGCTACCACACCTGGCCCCACTTAGGGCTTTTATCTTACCTTCCCAGTGATCACTTACCATGGTCTGCTCATATACAGATTTCTAGAATGTTAGGGTCAGAAATGATCTTTCAGACTCTCCCTTTCTGATTCTGCTATGACCAGGAGCCTTGAAAGACAGTACTAACTCTGACATGGACCTAACTCTGGCATGGACTTCCCTCCCCAGTGTTTAGTCCCTGCTTTGCAAGAGTCTATAGAGCTCTTTAAGGGGCCCCCACCTCAGAGTCTGGGTGCCTAGGGTTTTGGCTGCCAGCTCTTTGCATGTTCTCACTGTCCATGGTTTCTTCAGGGAAGGGCTGATAAAATTGTTGCTGTTTGAGCCCGTCTTCCCCTCTCCACAGTGTCTTTCTCCTTTGGGAAACTTTGGTTGCTTGGAGGAGTGGGGTAATGAGGGTAGGAGCTGACAGTGGCCTCCTCACACAGCCTTTGCATAATTGTCTCTCCCTTCTTGTTTCCCCAGAACATTCTGCTCCGGCCAAGGTGGTGAGGGCAGCAGTTCCTAAGCAGCGCAAAGGCAGCAAGGTAAGGAATGGAAGTGGCCAGTGGAAGGGGACTTCCTGGAGGTGGTGGCCTCTTTCCTGTTCTAGTGAATGCTTCTGGACTGCTGAGTAGTTCTGGATCCTCGCTGAATAGCGGGGCATCCCTTCTGGGCCTCCAGTGTGGATGGTCCAGTGTGGACGGACAGACTGATTTGGCCTCTGCTCTCTCGGCAGAGCTAGACCTTGGGTATGGGTTGAATAGCAGAGGCAGGGTCTCCCTGGGACCTCACAGTATGTGCCTTGCAGGTTGGTGATTTTGGAGATGCAGTCAACTGGCCCACACCTGGAGAGATAGCTCACAAGAGTGTACAGGTGAGTCTAGGGTTGGGGGGCTGGCGAGGTTGAACTCTACTTGCACACATTGGCTTCTCCAGCTCCAGAGCATCCGGGTCACCTTTCTTAGTTCCTTGAATGGAGTTGGTCGTCCTATCAGGGCAACAGTGAAACAGCTAAGAAGCATCATCATATGAGCCTTTGCTTTGCGTCAGAATCTACCAAGCATAGTCATTCTTCATTACACGTGTGGGGGAGGCTGGTTCCAGGACCCCCACGAATATCAGAATCATCACCCCTGAAGTCCCACAGTCGGCCCTACAGAACCTGCATTATAGAAAGTTGGCTAGGCCGGGCTCAGTGGCTCAGCCTGTAATCCCGCGCTTTGGGAGGCCGAAGTGAGTGAATTGCCTGAGCCCGCAGGTTCGAGACCCACCTGGGCAACTTGGTGAGACCGCATCTCT